CTCAAGCCTTAGCCTCCCAGGTAGCTGAGACTATGGGTATGCACCACCAAGCCTGGTTAATTTTTTATTTTTCTGCAGAAACATGGTCTCACTATGTTGCTTAGCTGGTGTCGAACTTCTGAGTTCAAGCAATCCTCCCGCCTCAGCCTCCCAAAGTACTAGGACTACAGGTGTGAGCCACTGCACCAAAACTTGCATTGGGATTTAGTGATGACTTTTTTTCAACTTCAAAAGCCTTCTTGAAAATAGCATACATAATTTCATCATCGTAAGTGAGCTTAGAGCAGATTGTGAGGATCTGAAAGGGATGTAAAAGAGGAACAAGTGAAGAAAAGTCTCACCTCTCACTTCACACTCTTCCTTTTCATAGAGAACACATGAAGAAAATACTCTCAAGTTTATTTGTTTCAATCAACCATCAGGTTTATTCTATTTATTTTGGTTCTTCAGAAGCAAAGATCAGTGAACCACTCAGTGGTAGATATTGTTGCCACTAACTTCTTCAGAGTCATTTCTGCCTTGGGGTTGTAAGTGGTTCTCTGTTAACTGAGATGGATTGTCTGAGCCCGCGGGTTCGAGACCCGCCTGGGCAGGCGAGACCTCATCCCTACAATAAATCAAAAAATTAGCCGGGTGTGGTAGTGCGCGCCAGTAGTTCCAGTTACTTGGAAGGCTGAGGCTGAAGGATCACGGAGCCCGGCAGGTCGAGGCTGCGGTGGCCGGGAGCAGCCACTGCACTCCAGTCAGGGTGACAGAGTGAGACTCCAACTCAAAAAGAAAAGAAAAGAAAAGTTACTGTACGTGGAGTGATCACAACGGTGTGGAAAAATAAGTGAATAGGACAAAAGTGGTTGCCAGTTATCTCTGGGCGGTACAAGTTTGAGTAATTTACACTTTGGTGTTGACATTTTAGTGTATCACATTTATGAACTCTTCACTGAGCATGTATCCCTTTTATTTTAAAAATGCTATTACAAGTCAATATATGTGACTGCACGTGTACCATAGGATCAAAAATAAATTTAAAACAAAATATTCACTTCTGTTATTTCTGGAGAAGGAAAAATAGGATAGTGAGTTCTTTTTTTAGTGTTTCAGATTCCTGTTCAATATGTTTTGTTTCTGCATGTTACAATGGATACAAACGTTTTGCTCCCTTAAGGAGCTTAGGGAAGGAGGCTTTATTATTTGCTTTGTTTTGCAATTAAGACTGCACCTACCATTGCTCCAGTCAGGTTAGCAAGTCCTGTGGAAAGTTCTCCTTAGAAGCCTGATCCCCTGCTGTTGCTGGGGTAGTTAGGGTACCTCTGGTGGCATTGCTAGGACCACGGGTGTGTTCGAGCTCTTTGGGTCCAGGGCAAATCATCAAGTCCTTACTATTTCACTTAGAGCGGAAGAGAGAAAGGGAGTTGAATCTTTTCTGAATGCAAATGTGTCTACGAAGGGGGAGCCCTCAGGAAAACTGGAATTTTGGAGGGCGGGCCTCTTGTAAGACACTCAGAATTTGTTCCTCCAGATTAAATGGTCAACCAAAAATCTTATCTGGAAGTTTCGAGAAGGTAGTGTTATGGCAAACAGGTGACTGGCTCTTCCTTCTTGGCAGCGCACCTGCCCACACTGCGCTGAGTGTTCAGCCGTTTTTTTACCACAAATGGTGTGAACCCCCGTGCCCCACCCTCCCTATCCCCCCCATCTCTCCCCGAGTGACTTTTTTATTTCGTTTCCCCTGGATGAGAAAAGTTCTCAGGGGGAAAAGTATTGCTGACGTGGAAGAGGCGGAACCAAAAACAGCAGAAGCACTAAAAGGCAGCCAAATGGACAAGTTCGAAAACCATTTTGGGTGGTGAAAAAAGCACCTCGATAGGTGGGCAGGTGTGTTGTCATGGTGGAAGAACCAGTCACCCGTTGGCCACAATTCGGGACATTTCTTCCACAAATCATGACCCCACCTTCTCAAAACTTCCAGATAAAAGTTTTGCTCGACTGTTTGATCCAGAGGAATAAATTCCGCGTGGGTTAGGTGATAGGTGTATTGCATCAGACGGAAAGTCCTTTGAAGGTGACTGAAGTTTAAACATGTAAGAATAAATACACAATGTTTTATGAATAAACTCCAGGGTTTGGGGGGTCTTCCCTCGTATGGTCTACGTCATTATGAAATCTGTATTCCATCTCTGTCTCCTAGCATACAACTCCTAAAATACTGAGACTCTCCGAAATGCCTGTCTTTCGCAGGCCAATAAGCTGACGGATGGCTAGCAGCCCCGGGTAATTTCAGGATGGGGCTTGTTACCAGAAAGACCAAGCCAGGATTAGAAAGTCAGGACCTTCAGCCCCACCCCTTTTCAGTCCCATCCAGGGAGAGGAGAGGGGTTAAAGGTTAAGTTGATCTCCAATGGCCGATAATTTAATGAGTCATGCCTGGGTAATGATGCCCCATAAAAACCAACAAACTGGGTTTGGAGAGCTTCCAGATTGCCGAATACATGGCAGATCCTGGAGGGCGGCACCCCTAGCCACAGCCTCGCCCTACACAGCTCATCATCTGTATCCTCTGTAACATCCTTTTTTTTTTTGAGTTGGAGTCTCACTCTGTCGCCCCGACCGGAGTGCAGTGGCACGCTCCCGGCCACCACAGCCTCGACCTGCTGGACTCTGGCAATCCTTCCGCCTCCGCCTTCCAAGTAGCCGGATCTACAGGCGCACGCTACCACACCCAGCTAGTTTTTGATTTATTGTAGAGACGAGGTCTTGCCAAGTTGCCCGGGTGGGTCTCGAACCCGCGGACTTGGGCAATGCTCTCGCCTCAGCCTCCCAAAGTGCTGGGATGACAGGCTGAGCCACCAAGCCCAGCCTGTAACATCCTTTATCATAAACCAGGAAACATATTTCCCTGAGTTCTGTGAGCTGTTCAAGCAAATTAATGAAGCCCAAGGAGGGGGGTCACGGGAACCCTGATTTATAACCAGTCAGACGCACAGCTAAAATATCCTGGGGTTTGAGACTGGCTTCCGTAGTGGGGGGAGTCTTGCAGGACTGAGCTTTCAACCTGTGGGAGCTGACTCTATCTCCGGGTAGGTAGTGTCAGAACTGAATCGGAGGCTGGTATTCAAGGTAGAACTGTTTGCTTGCTTACTGACGGGAAGGAATTCCTACACGCGTCTTGCTGTGGGAAATCTTCAGTGCCATCGTGGCGTGAGAGCAAAGGAAAAACAGTTCTTGTTTTCAGCTCATGGTCAGATTAGACCTCCTTTCCAATGCCATACAGGCCTCCCAGGTGACTCTGTCTGACCTGGTCCCAAGAGGATGAGCTTGGCCACCATGGGCTTCCGCACACACTCACTTAGCTGGATCAGAGCAAAGCCAAAGAGCCATCCATGTCATGGAAGCAAAATGGAGCTCCCTGGGTCACTACTGATCCCTCCCACCGCACCCTTCTTTTTGTTTTTCCACAGCACTGACCACCTTCTAACATGCTGCATAATGTATCTGTCTCTCTGGCTGACGCACAGGGTGTAAGCTCCTGAGAGCACAGATCTGTTGTGTTGGGTGATATGTCCTAAGCACGCAACAGAGAACCTGACACACAGTGGAGTTTTGGTACATCCTTTTGAATGGGTGAGTCTATAATTATTAAGATGAAAGGACTAGTGAGATACAGGAAGGAAGAATAACAAGATAGCACATATAGCATAATTGCAAAAACAATGGATTTGTGTGGGAGGGAATGAAGTTTGGAAGACATAGCCGGCGTCCATGTTGATTACAGATTTTATTTTCTTCATTGTTTTGGGGACTGTCTGGATCTTTCTTGGTGGACTTGTTTAGCCTTTACAAGCATACAAAAATATTTCTTTTCGTTTAGAAAAGGAAAAGAGGTAGGGTGCTGAGCCCACCCTGAGCAGCCTATGAGCTGAGGTGTGGCTCAGTTGGTATTGAGTGTCTGTCTTGGTGACAGGACTGTAGACTGCCACTGCTTCCTGGACAGGTCAATGCCACCCACCCTGGCAGGCGTTTTGGGGGAAGGTGTCCTTTCCATGGGCCTGAAATCTCCATGTCACTAATGCTTTTTGTTTTGAGATGATGCCATGTCTTACACGTGCTGTATCTTGGATCTAGGCTCCAATGGTAAGTTTGCATGTTAAGATATGAGATAGCTAAAATCAACTGTGGGATTTCTTGCATGTGAGTGGCTTAGGACATGATAGGCTGCTGCTTTCACTAGAGCTATGTCTGTGCCCTGTATTCCTCACAAAAGAAGGGGCCATTTTCCAAAGCAAGGGTTGGCAGTCACCGGAACAACGAGTGTGCCCAAGAAGAAAACAGGAGCTACGGTGGACACCACTGGGGACCAGCCTGTACCTAGCAGGCCTGCGTGTTGCTGGACGTGCCAAAGCGTTGGAACAGCAACTCTCACTTTCCCTGTGGAATGGGAACCCCTCCCCCAAGCAGCTTTCATTCAGGCATAAAGTGGGTCAGGCAGGGAGCTGAAGACAGGTCTGGACGAAGGGATCGTGCCACTGGCCTGAGGTGTGTGAACAGCAGTGCTGGAGGATGTCTGGCCCTAGCTTGCAACTATACAAGGAAATATTTTCACCACAGAGCTCTGGGAAGCTGCCACCAATGGATGATGTTAGTACTGCAAGATGTAACCACGTCACTGTCTTGGGTTTGTCAGTAACGCATCTACGAGATGCCAAACCAGTCACCTCCTATGCCCTCACACTTCCTGCCTACTTGTGCTAACTTTTATTTCTCCATAGCACTATTTCTATCCCAAATACTGTTACAGTCTCCAGAATGCCATGAGGCGGGAGTTTTGTCTCTTTTGTTCTCTGATGCATGTCTAGTCTGAGAACAATGCCTAGAACACAGTGGGAGCTCAATAAATATTTGAGAGAGAGCTGGGAAGATGGAAGGAAGGAAGGAAAGAGGGAGGGAGGGAAGAAGAAATAAGAGAGAGAGAGACAAGGCACCAAAGACAAGAGACACATCTTTATAAAGAATGTTTCCATTTACTTTATTATTTTAAATCTGAGCTTGCATAAAATGATGGTCAGTTACAGTTAGCTCCACGCGTCCTTGTAACATGACCTGGGGACAGGCCCAGGTCTGTACCGTTGCTCTGCACCCTCAGGTCCAGTGGCCGCAGCACTCAACCCTATAACTTAATTTGCATCTGCTGCGGCTGTGACAGCAGCCTTGCCAGTGACTCCGGTTTTCTCGCAGAGACAGAAGGAGGCGGCGGTGATGCAAACCGCATTTCCCCCCGGCCCCGGGGTCGCCTGAGAAGCTGCTGATATACACACGAGAGGATGCCCCAGGACACATGGGAAGGCTCACGGTGCCTGGAAACTCTGGGGTAGAGAGACCCCAGTGGGGTTCCAATCCCCCCCAAAAGGATACAGCTCAGAAGAGGACCTAAAAGAAACTCAAGCCTGTCGTTTCTGAGAAGCAGCATCATGTCTCCCGCTTCCTGCACTTTTTCTCCAGGGCACTCTCTTTTCACACACGCTGTCTTTCGAGACTCCCGGGTGCCAGGCCCGGGCAGCCAGATAGCACCCGCACGGGTGCAGGGACACGTCTGTGCGTGCACGTCTCTGCCGCCGGCCCTCCTCTGCCATGGCTGCGGCTCACACGTTGGTGTGCTGAGAACCGGACGATGCCATGCTGCCCAGCTGGCTCCGGCCTGAGGGTGCCGGGCTGGCTGTCCGGCTCCTCCTGCTGAGGTCAGCGCTTCCTGGGCTCCTGGGGGCCGCCTCGCCCGTCAGCCTGAGCTTCTCGTGCTCCTCTTTCAGGAAGAAGTCTACCAGCAGGCTCTTCTCTTTCTTGATCTGATCGCTGATGTCCGTGGGGATGTCTGGAATCATCCAGTCCACGAGGACGCTCAGGAACATCACAAGGTTCTGTCAAAAGCAAGGAAGAGTGGGGTGAGTGGACAGGCCTGGCCAGGCGGGCAGCGACCCTGGAGCAGAATGCTCCATGTTGATCCTGCGTCCACCACTCCCAGCCGAGGGACCTCGAGCAACGAGCGCAACTAAGGCGGGTGCGATGTTTCATTCCTGTCATCCCCGCGCTTTGGGGGGCCGAGGCGGGAGGATTGCTTGAGCCCAGGAGTCTGGAAGCAATCTGAGCCACATAGCGAGACCTCGTCTCTGCAAAAGGTCGAAAAAGCAGCCAGGTGTGGTGGCACGTGCCTGTAGTCCTAGCTCCTTGGGAGGCTGAGGTAGAAAGATCACCTGAGCCCAGGAGGTCAAGGCTGGGGTGAGCCGTGATCACGCCATAGTATACTCCAGCCTGGGCAACAGAGTAAGACCCTGACTCCAAAAAGAAAGAACGAACGAAAAGAAAAGAAAGGAGTGTAACAGAGCCTCAGTGTCCTCATCTGTGAAACGGAGCAGCGGCAGTGCCCGCCCCTGGAGGGAATGTGGGAACTAAATGACCTGGTGCAGGTAAAGCACCTGTGACTGGGCCTGGCTCTGTCCTTCCTCTGGCGAAACAGGGTGACGCATCCACAAGACCGCTCAGAGGTCCCCTGCCACCCCGCCCACGAGAGTCTCCTCACTTTCCCATGTGTCCCATGCCACTTACAGCGAGAGGCCAGAGTTCGGTGGGAGAGTGTATCACTTGATGAAGCAGCTCGTGAGCACTGAAGGCAGCTGGGAGCTTCTGGAAGCAGCCATTGGTCCCCAAAGCCTTCCCCTGAGCCCCTGGGGGTGTGTAGACTCAAGGGCTCAGTCACTGATCCTGGGGTCCCAGAGGTTGCTGTCACTTCTGCCCTTCAATAGGGCTTGTAGCACCCTCTCCCCCTGCCCACCTCAGAGGGTCCGCATGTGTCCTCTCCTTGTTCTTGGCCACTAAGCCTCCAGGCCCTCCTTGCTCCAGGGAAAGGACCTCAAAGTCCAATGGCCTCTCCCGAGCTGCCACCGTGTCACGTGCTCCTCCCTGCTTCCACCGGGCTCTGTCTGTGCTCCAAAGGATGGACATGCGGTGTGCGGCATTGACTCCCAGCCCCCGCCGACTCCGCACTGCTCATACTACCTTGTATGAGCCTTACTCACTCCAGCCCCTCCAGAGTGCCCAGCCTGCCGGGGACCCCTGCACCCAGCTGGCGTGATCAGGTCTAGGCTTGTGAGCATGCTTGCAGTGGGCTTCCTTATTCTGGATGCTGAGCTACATCCTGTCCCTGGTACATTAGCTGATGGACCGGGAGCACCCTTTCCTGGGAGCACTTCCTGTCCAAGTGAGCCAATACCAGACAACAGTGCCCAGCGTGGCCATGCACATGCAACCATTCTTATCATCTGATACTCACTCTGCCCAGTACCCCCCTCTACTGTGACACTCTACTCTGGCTACCAGTCATGGGCTCATGTGTCCCCGAGGACCGAGCTCTTGACCGAGCTCTCAGGGCCTCAGGGGAAGACTTTGGGGACCAACGGCTGCTTCCGGTGGCTCCCAGGAGCCTTCGGTGCTTGTGAGCTGCTTCAAGTCCTACTCTCTCCCTCTGAACCCGCTCCTTCCGGCGTGAGTGACATGTGACATGCGACATATAGGAAAGTAAGAAGACTCCTGCGGGCGAGACAGCAGGGGACATCTGAGTGATCTTTCAAACATATCGCCCCATCTCTCCAGAGGAAGAATAGCTGTCTTCTTTAGGGGAAAGTCTAGCCGTCGGGTTTCTCCACTTCCTGGGCTGGGGCCCTGGGCCAGGATACTTTAGAGCCCCCCAGAGATCTGCCTTCAGGGAATACAAAAGCCTGAGGGAGCCAAAGAGAAAAGGATCTGGGCTTGCGCTCTGGCCTCGCTTGGAGACCGGCAGGACCCGGAACAGGAATCGGGGGGCCCCAGAGCTGGGAGAATCTCAGCGATGCAATTGGAGCTGTGGCCATTGTCCGAGATAGGAATCTTGGGGCTCAAGTTTGCTATTCAGTCGGGGAGGGCGCGATGGCTCCAGGGCCCTTCCCCCCAGATGTCTGGGTGGCTGAAACAGCCCTCAACAAAGGAGGGAGCCCAGAGTGCCGGGAGAAAGGTCCCGAACTCGAGCCCTGCTCGGCTGCAGAGAGGAGATGTGCTGTCTGTGGCGCTGGGGCCGAGACTCTGGTTTCAAAGGCTCTTCCCCTCTCTTCATCTCGGGTCTGAATGGGAACCTGTCTCCACCCTGCACCTTACTCCACATCTGTCCTGTAACCGGACTCTGTGCTTTGTTCTCTTTCTGCAAACTCCATCTATTCCAGGGAGCCCCCTCGGGGGGGTTCTCCCGCCCTCCCGTAAGGCCCCTTGTGTCACCGCGTACCATGGGCACCCGGGGAGGGGCAGGCGTCGAGCCAGGACGTCTTCGCCCCGCAGCCTGGGTTCTCGTGGGCTGTTTCTCGGCGGAGCGACTCACCTGGAAGATGATGACAAAAGCCAGGCGGGCGGACAGAATGAACCAGTACTGTTTGGAGAACTCGTAAGGGCTCGGTGCCCACGGCGGCTCCCGGTAGTCCTTAAACCTGCCGGGAGAGGAATGTGGTGTTAAAATTGGGAGGAGATGGAGAGCAGGGTGGTCACTCTCTGGGCGAAAACTCCGGGGCTGGAGCAACAGGCAAGCCTTTGGCTCTGACTTGGGTAAAGGTGGAAGGAGGTGGACATCCGTGGGCCAACCAACAGATGTCCAGGGGATAAAAGGGCCAGAGTCCCAAAAGCCAGCGTCAGCCTGGACATGTCTTTTCCTGCTCCCGCCGACATCCCCCAAATCTTCCTCTGATGTCAGGATTCAACTCCTGGAGGAGCCCAGAGGCCGTGGGTCCGTCTCGCTCCCTCGAGCCTGTGGCTGGTAAGAGGCCAGGGGAGACCTCCAGACACCTCGCCCAGTGCTCTGTGAGCCTGGGGGCACAGTGGGGATTCCAGCACTGGCCAGGGATCCTGGGCCTCTCGCCCAGCCGGCTGCCTTGGGACCACGGCCACCAGAGGGCTGGCTGTGCTTTACGGCTGTGTCCTCAAACCAAGAGGAGGGCTCATCCAGGCCACGCCGAAGGCCGAGTGAGTTTGGGGGGGAGGGTCTGTGACCGTCAAGTCAGTCGGCATCCTGTTTTGCTAACCATCTTCCTGATCTGTCTGTGCGGTTTCAGAAACAAAATGTCAAAGCCGGATGTGAGCTCGTGCCTCTTTCTCAGACCCACAGAGAAGCCTTGGGTTTTCCCTCCCCCTTGTCTTTCCACCGCCATTCCAGAATGATTCATAGGAAAACGAGCTCATTTTCCCAGACTCCCATTTTTCTAAGCCTGGAAAAATGACAAGGGCTGGTACCAAGAGTGTGACCCTCCAGGGGAGTGTTTTCTCCGTGGAATTCAACAAGTCTTTGGTGCTTGGTAAAAGCCAAGGGAGGCCAGGCTAGAGGAACAGGTGGGTGGCATTGGGCCACCAAGCAGTGGAAGCAAGGATGGCAGGGTAGGACTCTGTCCAGGAGAAACCGGGCCACCATCACATACGAAGGCGCAGTCTGTGCCAAAGAGCTCTTCTGGGAGGTTTCGCATCCAAACTTCACAACGACATCCTCAGGCAGACCTTGCCATCCCTGAGTAATCCAGGAGGAGCCTGAGGCTCGGAGAAGTTGAACTCCTTGGCTAGCATCTCATGGCCGGAGAGAGGTAGAATCAAGAATGTGAGTCTGGCTGAATGCAGGCTTCCCTCCCATGGCCACAGAGCACCTCACCCGCAGCTGCTGTTTGCATGGGGGATTCAGGGGTGGGTGCTCACCAGTCCCTCCCTCTGCTCTAAAAGAGTCATGGAAAAGGATGGTGGCTTCCAACTTCCAAGTGTCCCGGGAGCAATGAGAGAAGAGAGCAGTAAAAGAGGAAAAGAGATGCATGCACCGAGATAGAAAAAGTCACCATGATAGAGGGCCGCAGAAAGAGACGGTCTGTGAGGTGGACACGAGGGCTCGACGAGGGACTGGCAAGAAGCCAGGAACTGCCCCCCCCACCCAGCTTCCCGCTCCCAGCAGCTGACCGCAGCTGCCGCTAGCTTGGGTTGACATCCGGCTACAAAGCAAAGCTGACTGCAGCCCGGCAGAGCACCGCGGGATACATCATCCCAGGCTGAGGACAGAAACCTGGCCAGCTCCAGATTATCCTTGCTGATGGGAGCAAGGGAGAGCATGGCCTGATGAATAAGGACATCTCGGGGTGGGGGAAACCCAGCAAAACCCCGACTCACCTCTCCTCCTCTTGCCCCCAGACAGGACCCCGTGGGAGAAGGCAATTGATCCCACTCCTCTTGAGAGCGCCAGAGGAGGGTGCTGCGCGCGCGCACACACACACACACACACACACACACACACACACACACACACACACACACACACACACGCCTTACCATGGGGAAATCTTCCCCCAGTTCCAGCCCAGCCCCTCCTGCCGCAAGGAAAGTCCATCCCCTCGTTCCCTCTAGCTCCATCTACGAAGGAACAGCTGCTCACTGACCTCGGTATGAGAGCCATCACTCACCCCTCTTTTTTCCAGTCTGAAAAGAATCCATAAATAATCTGATCTGGTTCCCTCTCTGCCATTAACTCACCCCAGCTTTTGGAAATGTCACTTTGCCCTCCCCGAGTGTCCAAAACATGTTTTGAATCTAGCAGGCACATCCATCTAATGAAGGATCTGGGGAAGGATTAACATGGAGATCTGTCCAGAAAACTCTGCTTGAAAATGCCTCCATGCAGACGGGCTAAGGGAGGACAAACCGTGCTCAGGAAAGAACAACAAGCAAGATAACAAAGTATGCGTTTCGCCACATTTCTTTTTCCAACGCAAAATTTTTAAACGCCGTGACCTACCGTGAGAAAGATATTTCTCATGGATGCACACCTATATTACATAAAAATGACACAAAACATACTTATCCTTGCTGTGTGCGATGCACTGACATTTTTCTATCCTATTCTACCTCATTTAAAATGCCGATCACGACCCACTAAAGTGATTTCATAATTTACTAATGAACCATGATTCACAGTGTGAAAAACATTGGTTCCAGTAAGCCTCTGCCACCAGGTAAATAACTTGTTATTGACATTCCAATGTAAGTTCTGATTTCATAACTGTTGTCAAATTTCACCCTGAGAAGTCAGGCTTATCAAATGTTTTGACCAAGTAACGAGAAAACACTAATTAAATAGAGAGATAATTAGCTTTAAGAATGGAAATGTTCACAAAAGAGAGTGGCTTATCAACGTATTCCCATCCTTGGCGATTGGGTGTGTTTTGTTTTTAAGCCCGGTGCTCGGTGTTGATAAGAGTTTGTGCTTTGGAGTCGGCAGGTGAGGGTTGGGTTGCCACTCCCAGCACGGTAGTTCTCTGTCCTCGTGTGAGTCACCCGATGTCCTGATGCCCAGTGCCTTCTATAAAATGGACCTGAACTGTCCACCTCACAGAGTCGGTCGTTCTGAAGCGTAAGTGTCAACTCAAAGTGTTTAGTACATCACCTGAAACATCAGAGGAACCCAGTAAATTGTAGCTGTTCTTTCTTTTTTTATTGAAAGCTATTTCTGACATACACACCTCTTCTGTTAAAAATACTCAGAGCACATACGAGGGAGAATCCCCAAAACCCGTAATTTATTTATTAAAACATGAGTATTTATTCTTACATGTTTAAACTTCAGTCACCTTCAAAGGATTCTCTGTTTGATACAATACACCTGTCGAGATGCTTTTTCCACAGCTCAAAACAGTTTTTGAACTTGTCCATTTGGATACCTTTGAGTGTTTCTCTCATGTTCTGTTTCACCTCTTCCGTGTCAGCAAAACATTTCCCTTTCAGGACGTTTTCCGTCAGGGAAACAAACAAAAAAAAGACACTCAGGCAAGACCAGGTGACCAGGGAGGGTGAGGGACGGGGACCGTGTCATTCTGGTCAAAAATGGCAGAACACTCCATGCAGGGTGGGCAGGTGGGTTGTCACGGTGGAAGAACCCATCACCTGTTTGCCACAAGTCAGGAACGTTTCTTCCATAGATCATGCTGCAATCTTCTCAAAACTTCCAAATAAAAACCAATGGGTTCTTAAAACACCTAGCAGGGGAAGCCTGTACTAGAAGGGGCTTGCCCTCCAAGAGATGATTCCAGGTTTCTTCAGGTCTCCCGTCGTGGACCACTGCTCCCTGTTTCTCCTGGTTTCGGGGCACTCAAGAAGGAAACACTTCAAGGGCGTCCGCTGGCTGTGGATTCCAGAGGGAAGCAGGGCTTTGGCCTTTGGGCTACCATTTTAGGGGCACTCCTAGAGCTCACCCCGCCTTCTAGTCCTTTGTTTCCTCGAGGTTTCCCGTTCATCTTCAGGGTTCCCCTGAGACTTCTGAGGAGAGACTTTTCAGTAACGAGACGACGAGTGCGTGGAAAAAGCATGTCTGCACTAGAAATGGCTATGCCGCTTGCTAACTGCGGAACCCAGAGGAAGTCCTGTCACATTTGTGAACCCGGCCGTCCTGGTCTGTAAAGTAAAACCCCAAAATGTACAAATCAGGGCTGAGCACATCAGACCTCTCAACCCCAGTCAGGGATAAATGAATAGGTGGGTGGGTGTGTGTGTGTGTGTGTGTACATTGAATGTTAAAGGAAGACACAGTGAGAATTAAGACAATACAATGTGATTTTCTAGAGGCTTCCACAGAAAATGAACACGATGGTTTCTTCTGAGAAAAATGGCTGGGGGGAGGGGGGCGCTGAGAAGAGATCCTTTCTTTTTCCTTTTATCTATGTATTATACAGTATTATCCATTAAATTACTTTTATAATGAAAACGTTCATAATTTTTTTTGAGAGTTAAGGTCTCACTCTGTCGCCTCGACTGGAGTGCAGAGGCACAGTCATGGCTTACCACAGCCTCGACCTTCTGGGTTCTGGCAATCTTTCCACCTCAGTCTCCCGAGTAGCTGGAACTACAGGTACATGCCACCACACCCACTCATTTTTATTTTTTGTTTTTTGTAGAGACGAGGTCTCGCTCTGCTGCACAGCCAGGTCTCAAATTCCTGGGCTCAAGCAGTCCTCCTGCCTCAACCTCCCAGAGTGCTGAGATTAAAGGCATGAGCCACCATGCCCAGCATAAGAAGGTTATAATTTTAAAATAAAGATGTAATCAATGGCAAACCAGAGCCGATCCAAGTACATTTTTATACTAAGCTTTCAGGAGAAAAATTATAGTGTTAACTTAGACAGATTCACAACAAATACAATGGATACAAAAACCAACATTGTATTTTAGCTTTAAAATTACACTGATATTTTATCTAGATTGTCCTAACTTTGTGAAAAATCACATTGAGTTGAATTTTTACATCACTTGACTACGGTTCACATTAACTCAAAATACATTTCATTATTATAAAACAAACACATTAAACATAAAGTTTCTGTAAGTTTATACTATGATAACACAAAGAAAAATGTCTGGGCCGGGCTCAGTGGCTCAGCCTGTAATCCCAGTGCTTTGGGAGGCCAAGGTGAGTGGA